CACTCAGAGAACAAAATGCTTCACAAAATTAAGTGAACATTTGGATTTTTAACTTGATTTTTATCTTTTCATTCAACCAGAGGGGTATGCATGTGGGAGATGCACTTGTCAACTAAAAGCAATTTCTCTGCCTCCTTGGGGGCTGAAAGGAAATCATGGCTCTGTCTTTCTGATGCCAGGATAAAACTTGCATGTTCTTGAGTGGTGTCAGCACATTGACAGACAGCTCCTGGGAGCTAGTAAGGAGTACTGGTGAAACAGGGCTGGGGTGAGGACGAGAGAACTGGAGACTGGTCTCAGCTCATCTTCCCCTGGGTGACTTTGGACTAGTCACTTGGTTAACCTCATGTTTGTAACTTAAAAACACAAGAACAAATCTGTTTATTTCTATATTACAAAGCTTGGTAGAGGACTTGGTCAAGCAGTCATAAAATAAGTGGGTAGAAATTCCATGGAAAACAGTTAGAATGCAATTAAAGAGCTGGAGGGAAAGGTCCAGTTTTCCTTGTACATGTCTGCCTAATGGACAAAAAAGAGAAGAACATTTGAGGCTCAAGTCCCACAAAATTCCCTTGTGGTTTCATGAGTAGTATAACCATGAGCCCAGATAGACTTCCCATGCAGAAAAGCAGGGAGGCAGAATCCTGAGGTCCTGGGGTTTCCTTTATTGAGTATGTATGATTGCCATATGGATATTCTGATAGATCTTCTCAAAACAGGATGTGCTGGGAAGCATAGTTGCTAATCTATCCTGCCCTCCATAGGCCCATAGACTTTGTTATCTCTCCTGTGGGATTTGGAGTGGTGGTCGCAAGAAGACTCACCCTCCATTCATAGAAGCTCAGGGAAGCTGCCATGCTCACATTTATTCACTTGGTTATGTAGTGTGGTATTTCAGCCCCGCTCTTGATGCTATAACTTAAAACGCTCTGCTCATTCTACATCTTTTTCTTAATGTAAAGAGACCAACACATAGGACTTTCAAATGAAAAGCCTGACTAGAGAGTACCAATATACAAGGATTCTCAGAAAATTCAAACAGACGAGCTGTGTGAAGTATGCTCATTTTTCATACACCCTGACTAGAAAGGTAACGTTTTAAGAGTTTGGTCATTTCTTGTGGTAATATTTATTCATTTTCCCCAAAGGAGTGAAGTTAAAGTGACCAGTGTCCCTAAGTGGCTACCCCAAGGTTTCTTGTATCTTACATGCAATAGGAAGAGAGTGTTGGAGGGTGTGGTGGAGTGGGATATATTCCTTGGTATTACACTTTTTCCAGCTTTGGTGACCATTAAAAATTCCAATGAGCAACCTGTGAAATATTTTTTTTTCTGCTCCTTTTGCTCAGAATACGTCTGTTTGTTTTGCAAGGAAGATTTCCTGAAGATTGATTACAATGTGTTTCACATGCTAAGAAACGTATTGGAGATAAGGAGTCATTTAGCTATCTATATTGGCCTGGAATTTGTGATTGCCTGCTTTGATCTCTTGAGTAGCTGGGATTGCAGGTGTGTGTCACCATGCCAGACCAGAAATTCTTATTCAGCAAAACTGGAGAGAGAGAGAGAGCAAAGAGTGAGTGTGCATTGTTATAGCACCTTCCAGTTGATGCTTCTTTCCCAAAACAACATACCTTGAGAAACAATGAGCAATGACAAGTTTTAAAGGCCTTTGAGTCTTAGAGTTGTACTTAATTATCAATCATTGTTTGCCTGGGTAACAAGTACTTTTGTCCTTCATAGGGAAGAAAAGTCTGAAACGTTTTTTTTTTGCGAGGTCAACAAGTCACTAGAATGACTTCCTCACTCTGGCTAAAGGCCTCACAGTAGAGTATGGCCTCACAGTAGAGTATGACCTACCTTAGGAACAGCGTTCATGGCTCTTTATTATAATGACATGCGATAGGAGACTTAAGAGACAGCTAACAGTCAAGTTTTAGGACTTGAACTGTCAGGACAAGGACAAAGATGCCAAGTGTGTCCTTATTAGCATTCACTTAGGAATGAGGGGTCTCAGGTCCATACCAGTAGGCTCCTGACACCTTGATGGGGCTTCTAAGGACTACTGTATAGTAAGAAAGATGCTCTAGCTGGATATATGCCCCCATACAGGAACGGAATCTTCATGTTACTCACAAACCTACTTCTTCAGCTTTTTTTCAGTCACCAAAGTGACCGATGCCACTAGCACAACACCAAACTACAATCCCAAGTCATTAGTATACCTGGCTTAGTCCTTTGTTGAGCAGGGATGTTATCATTTGTTTGTGATTTTATGAGTATGGTTTTCTAACTCTAGAGAATAATGTTTATTAAAGAAAAATTAGAAAATGCTCCAATATGAAAATAATAAAAGAGTTAAAATTGTCTGTAATTGCATTGCCTAAATACAATCATGATTAAGATTCTCATGTGCTACCTCTTGGCTTCTTCTTTCTGCATATAGATGTATTAGTTATTTGCATTGTCTGGATGGCAATGTTCACACATTTTGCATCCTGACTAATTTTCACTTAAAAATATCGTAAGTGTATTTTCAGATTATCACATAAGCTCCCAAATTATATATTTAAAAATAATTGCATAATAATTCATCCACTGAACCAGCATTATTTGCATGGCCAAGTATCTGGCACCTAGAGGACATTTGGTAAATATTTGTCGAATAAATGAGATTGATGGATGAATACACTGCCCTATTAGGTGACATTTACTTAAAGATAAACATTTTCAGGTGAACCATTATTGTTTTCCTCTTAGAATCATGAAGTCCATGTTTCCCTTTCTCCCTTCCCCCTCAAAAGTGTAGACAGTTTGGTTTACCTGAAGCTCTATAACAACTATCATCATCCACACTTTACATATGAAAAAACCAAGAGGTTAGACTACTCTGTCAAGATTACATTCCTAGTGCATACATAGCACAGCTAGATTTCCCATATAGGTTTGTGAGTATCCTGGCATTTTCTTTTTGCTTTACCATATCACACTTCTTGAAAAACAACAACAAACAAACGAAAAACAAAACACAAGCAAACAAACAAGAAATGACCACAGAGAAAGATTACTTCCTGGTTTTAGACCAGTTTGAAATATTCTGAAAGCAAGCCTTCAGTTAGTAAAGACCTAGAACAGGAACAGGTAGGCAGGTAGTCTTTTTATAATGAGTGAGTCAAACAAAATTTCCTTCAGTTGAATTTTTTTAAAGGTGGGAATCTGTTGAGGCCATTAAAGACACTGGTGCTGGGTGAGAGCTCAGAGAGCAGGTCGGGTCAATATCCAGAACCTGAAGGTGGACTTTTCTAGGGGGCAGACTTATTTGGCTTGGGGTGAGTTAGTATTTGCACAGCAGAAATTCATAAAGGTGCAGGTATGGTGAATGTTTGCTAGCTTTGATTGCTTTGAAAATATGTGGGAAATTGGAAATGGTTTAGAAAATGGTGCAATGGATGAGGGGTGCCATGTTTTCCAGAAAGAAAGGAAAACGAGTTGAAGCCCTTTAAATTCTAACTACAACTCTACTTTGCTAAGAATTGCATGGCTGAGTCCATGAGATTTTTCCATTTTATGCACCTCTTTTGCCACACTGACACTAATATCAGTGTCACTAATATCAGCCAAGCAAATGTCATAACTACTCTCCTCAAAGGACTTATGATTGCAGCTTCCCCTCTTCGGGCCCATAAACTAGCTGTTGGAATAAAACTTCTCTGATTTCTTTACACCTTCTCCTTGCATTTTGAATGACAGGACACCATTTTCCCAGTGGAGGAAAGCCTGGGTACAGAGACACATCTGTACATGTAGCAATGAAGAGCAGGGTAGAAATTAATGAGGGTCTTTGGGCTTCATGGGGAAAAAAGAAACCGGCTTGAGAAATTTTTGTTCAGTGTATTCTGCAACATGGTCCATCTCTGATGGCTACATCTACCTCAGGATTGGGGAGGGGTAGAGCTGGTTTACCTCCACCAGAAATCCCAAACATTGAGCCCACTGCAGCAGTGCTTTACATATGTCTATAAAATTAAAAATACAAAGCCTTAAGAGAAGTGCAAAGAAATCTAATACCGTACCACCCCTCACTGAAATATCAAATATCAAATTCTTTCTAAAAATAAATGTTGGTGCCCCTCCTATGCCAGGGCTCTGACAAAAGCATTGGCTGTGGCGCTGTGGCTGTAAGTTAGAAGCAGCTGAAGGCACCCCACATTTATGCATACTTGACATTAGGACAGGTAGGAATCAAACTTCTTAAAACAAAATTGCACAGGCAGGAGAACATTGTTCCCTTTCCTGAGAAAATCTCAAGGCCAGGACTATAAATTTCCTCTCAGATTCTTCCGGGAGGGGGAGCATCTATCTATCCTATTTATTTTCTGGGTCCGCTACAGGCAACCAAGTGCTTTAAACTCCATATAGAATTTGGGGACACAATGGCTGAGGTGAGGATCCCCTAAAATGGGTGACAGGAGTGGGAAATGTTCCCAAAGATTAAGGCCTCATTTAGATTCAGGGTTTAGGGGGCCAGTAATAATTTCCGCTGAGACTGGGCTTCCTGACAGCTGAGATGGCCTCCGCTAAAACATGGGGTTTCTAGGGGCTGGGATAAAGTCTCACCCTCAGATCAGAGGTTTCCTGGGACAGGTGCACCTTGTTGTCCTCAAACGGAGCTTCTGGAAACAGGCCTGATTTTAAATGTTCCACCAAGGGCAACTGGGGGTTCAGGAGGGACCTTCACTCCTTCTCAGATTTGGGGCTCACCAGGGCTAAAATGGCTTTACCTCTCAAAGTGTGAGCTCCCAGAGGGTAGGGGCAGGGTACTGTCCTCAGAGTCACAGCTTCTCTAGACAGGATCTGTGTCTTGGACTCCCTATGCGTGGGGGAAGGGGCTGCAGGGCCAGAGGCCCTTCCCTCCGGCGGGAGGGGGCCTCCCATGAGGCCCTGCCCCCTTGGTGACATGCTTGAGGTGTCCGGTGACCAAGATTCTCAGAGCTGGGTGCAGGGTGCGGCCCAGGGCGTGGTTACCGGGGGCTACTTAGAGCAGCTCTTGCGGGGCGACTGCACGGAGGTTAGCTGCGAGGCTGCCGGGCACTCAGCACTGGTTATGGCGTGGATGCTGGACTGCCTTTTCGCATCGGCCTTTGAGCCCCGCCCCCGCCGTGGTGAGTGGGGCCCACCTTGTCACAGGGCTGGGGTGCTCAGCTGGGGGCTGCCGGGGGCTGCAGCCCCGGCTGGATGCCCTAGGGCTTGGCTCCCCACCCCCTCTTGCCTCCTTTCCTGCTGGCTTTTAGCTAATTGTTCTTGGCTCAAGGGACTGCCCCGTCGAGGACCCGCATAAATCACCAGCTTTGCCGGGAACTCAGAGCAATCGCACTAATGGTTCGGCGGGACACAGGGCGAGTGCAGGGGAGGAGTCGCTGGCTCTATGCTTAGGCTAGAGGGCCAGCAAGCCAGCAAGCTGTCCCGCAACCCAGGGCTCTAAAGGCCCCAGGAGGACCTTCTTTTTCAGGGTAGCCAGAATCCAGGGACCTTGACTTGAAGGTGGGGTTCCTTTTTGCCTTAAAGCTTGTCCCTTTTGTCTCAATCTTAATTAAAGAATAGCAGCCTGGCCCCTTTGAGTAGTCAATTGAACCCCTCCATTTAAAAGATGATGACATTGAAGCCCAGACAAGGGAAAGGCCTGCCCAAGGTCATCCACGGAGTTAGCAGTCAATCTGGGACAGTTCAGGCCCTGCTAACTGCTCACTGCCCCAAGGTGCTAAGTCGTGGAGGCCTGGGGTCTTTACTTGGGTAATTGAGGTCAGTGTTTAGTTCTCTCACCCCCATGGAATGGAGGACATAAATATGCAAACTTCACAGCTCCTGTGTTAGTTGTGGATCCTATTTCACCCTTCTAGAACGCCTTCCACAAAGCAGAATTTTTCTTTTTTGAAGTTTCAGGAGGATGACGTATTATTTTGGAGATTCCCTAGGAATCGCCCCCCCACACTCCACAATGTCCTTCACTTCCCTTTGACAAGCTCCACCCCCTTCATGTTGCCACCTGCCCCCACGGCCACCTGTTTTTCCGTAGTCTCCAACTCCAAAATCTATATTGGTGAAAATGCGTCATTGGTCACCAGCCATAGACCAAACCTGGAGTTGTCTCTTCTTTCTCCTCCCCCCTCACAGGCAAGGGAGGGGAGGCAGCAAAAGGAGGGGCCAAAGAAACTTAATTCATCAGATCTGATTTTAGTTCTTGCCAACCCCTGTACCCTGCTAACAACCATCCTAGTAGTCTAGTTTCCTGCTAAGAGCCTGAAGTGGCTTAGCCAGTTCAACTACACACTCTGACAGGTCATAAGCTCTCTGAGCTTAAAAAGGACCTGCATACACTTATGGTTAAAGATTTTCTTTTCTGTGTCTTTAACATGTGCGATCCTGGAGAAAGAAAAAAAAAACAGGGAAGGAAGGAAAGTAAAAAGAAAAGAAGCTGGGTATAGTGGCCTTAGTCTGCTAAAGCCAGAACTAAGAATACTGAAGCAGGAAGACTGAGAGTTTAAGGACCTCCTAGGCTAAGCAGTAAGTTTGAGGCCAGCCCAGGCTGTAGTAAGATGAGCAGGAAAAGGGAGAAGGAGAAAATAGTAGAAAGAGGGGATATGATGGAGGGCACGAGGCAAGGAGGAAAGGAAGACGGAGTCTTATGCCTTTTAAGGCCTTAAGACTTGAACAGCCTTGAAGGCTGTTGTATAACTCTGATGAGGTGAAGGTTATGAGGCTCCTTATGGGAGGAGGTCAGTATCACACAAGGAATTCCATGCACATCAAAAACAACAGGGTCAATGATAATCAAATGGTAATTTATGTCCTGGGGATTCCTACTTGTGACTCTACTTGTGTCAGCCCTCTCCATCCTACCAATTAGTCCAGTTCTCATCTTGTTCTAACCTCCCTAGTTTCTTCAGTAGTCTAATATTGGCAGGGCCCACCTCTAGCTGCTCCTCTTGGAACACACACCAAGTTATAAATGCCAAGGACCAGACCGAAAGAGGATTTCCAGCTGTGCCTTGTAAATATAGCCCTGAATGGCTGACTTAGCCTCTTCTGGAAGCCTGCACTGCACCAAAAGCACACATGTACACAGCCATAAATGTGTGTATTCATACACATCCCAAATCCATGCATACTCCCACACAAAGCATGAGCAAATATAAATGCACTATACGTAGCTTGCTTAATTCCCATACAACAAAATGCTACCCACATCATGCACACAAGTGCCACCCACACGTCCCATGCAAATTCTACACAGTTCATAGCCTATTTGTACTTCAATTATTTTCAAGCAAAGCTACTTTAAACAATAAGTAAACACAAGTTCTTTCCACAGTGGCCATTCTTTGCTTAGTCAGGGTTTAAACACAAGTACAAGACTTTCTGTTTGCTGCTGCATTTCCAACTGGTGAGAAATGTCCATCAAATGCTTCCATAGCTCAGCATTTCCTACACCAGATCTATTACAAATACATTAACAGTTAATATATGTAAAGTGCTACCTAAATACTGGGCCTTTGAGCTCTACTTTACATGCATGATGTCACTTACGTCACAAACATCTCTTTTAAATAGGAAATAAATGTTAGGGTACAAATCTGACCAGGTAAGTGTATACTCTGTTGCACTCCCACTGGGAAAAACTGTGCAACAGCAACATGAAGAGTAACTTTGGGAATGGAGTAATGATTGATATTCTATGGTGTTATAATTGTCCTTGGTTTCTAGTTCCAAATGCCTTTTAAAGACTTATAGACATCAGAGGTGTGAGAGATAGATGACCACAGACTCAGCAGAATGTGGGAGGTATTCTAAATAGTTCCTTTGTCAGAGCAATCTGTTGAGGTTGGTAGCATCAATATGAAGGTCTTTGGAAGAGGCTATCACTATGGCCTGGGATGCATGAGGGCACAGATTGGCCTTCTTTCTTAAGGAAAGGGACAGCACCACTGACCCATTCGAAACTCTCTTCTCAGTTCACTCATGGCTTAAGATTCAACTTCCATACAGCGGGCAGAACTCTAAAACTGGAGGGGCCCTGAGGTTCACTTCACATACAAATGCAATTTTTTCTTAGAGATGATAACTAATCGATTTTCTGAGGCCAGGCCTAAATAGGCTACAGCAAGATCATTTTCCAGAGCAAGGGCAAAATGGCCCTAGAATCAGATAAATATGCAATTCACCAGGGACATCACTTCCCAAAACTCTTTTATGAATGACTTCTTTAACACCTCAAGACATTTCTCCATAGGAGAAAAGAAGTATGAGGCTAGAGCTAAGCTTACCAGGTCCAACCCACAGTAGTTACCAAGAGAATGAAATGCAGAATTTGTGTGATGAAAACTGGCAGAAATAATCCATTCGCAAATGTACCCCAGGCTCTAGCAGTAAAGCTGACATTCATCAAGCTTAAATATCAAATGACAGAAAGCACATTGAACATTGAGAGAGCAGGACACCAGGTCCCTGAGGGTGATTATGGCAATTGTGAAATCAACATCATTCCTTTGTTTTCACACTTAGCTAGTAAGACAACCTAAATGACCAACAATAGCGCAGTGGCTAAATAAACTTAACAACATACCTACTTGATAGATAGTATACAACTATAAAAAGGGGTCTCTGAAGAATACATAATAGCATGGAAAATGGCATGATCATAACTGTCACAAGTGCATTTATTTGGGAAAGGCCAGAAGAATGTTCACAGCAGGTAAACTGGGAGATTCTGTATAGGTGGCAAATTGCACTTGGGCTTATTTTTTCACTCTTTTTTTTAATCTGCATAAAATTTGTCCTTAAATTATTCTTTAAGCTTTAAAAAATTATTTTAAAAAGAATACTCAAAGAGTTATGACATGCAATCAATTCATACACTAAACTAAAATTCCATTATACATAGTTCAATCTTACCATTTTTCCCTTCGTATTTTTTGTTTTAATATAATGACTACATCAAATCATTATCTTCCTGGTGATTGTGAAATGTCCCCTACTGCTGGGTGAGAAAAAGGCACAGCTGGTTGGAGTCCTGGGCCTCCCAGGCTTGATCCCACAGTGTTGTTTGTTACAAGCCTGCTATTTCACTTCTCTTAAAGTGGCATGCCTACATTTTTGGGTTATTAATTACAGTAATACTTGTCATTATTGTTGCACATGAAATTATTTTAAATGATTTTTATGCTCCAGGTATCAAAAGATATATTTGTTGTTTCTTCTCCAAATATTTACTAATAACCAGGCACTTTATATAAACTATATCTTTTCACCTCCAGAACAACTCTTCAAGGTACTATTCTCCCTGATTTAAAGAAAAAGTTCTGTAATTTGCTCGTTTTTCACAGTGACTGAGGAAAATTTTTGATCCAACTTAAAAAATTGAGTGAAAGGAGAAGAGATGGTAATTACCAAAGCTCCAAATGCTCTGCTGACATACAGCACACATTTCCAAAACGGTCAATATTATATCACTGATGATGCCTTGCCCAGGATCCAAATTCTGGAGTTTGAACTACCTGGTGTCTTATAGGTCCCTTTCTGTGAAAAGGTGCACATTTCAATGGGGAGATGCAGTGCAAACATCACCTGAGTCCTTAGAGCTGGGGCTGTGAGTCACTAGGAAACAATTTCTGTGTCCTTCTGGCAGTATCATTTGTTCTCACATGCATGCGCAGAAGTGGTAGATGGGATATTTGATGAGCCTTGGCAAAGCCTGTCACATCTCAGATACACCTCTTAAGAAACCACTCAGCTTCCTCTGATGGGCACACAGTACCCAGCAACCGGTAGGTCCCTGCTTAATAAGGAAACCCATGAAACTCTAAACTGCTACTCCAACTGTTCTCTGTATGATTTGGCTGATGCTTGTTATTCCTCTCGCTTTTTCTCTCAAAGAAGAGGCCCCAGGACCTTCTCAGATGCATATAGAACTGCTGATATAATAATATATTGCAAAATGGGTGCCAAGGGTCAGTGGGGGAGGGGAACATGTAGGACATGTGGGTCAAGGGTAAAGGAGAGGGTGGAATTTAAAATATCTTTCAAAGACAATAAACATAAAAAGGCTGGACTCTCAGAGATCTTGCCCCCATGAATATCAGTAATTTTCTGCTCTTTTGTAGTTTTG